TGATTCATAATACCCAAAAAGTAGAAACAACCCAAATATTCACCAACTGATGAACAAATAAAATATGGTTTACCTACACATAGGAATGTCATTTGGCAATAAAAAGAATGAATTACTGACACAGGTTGAGCATCCCTAATTTGAAAATGTGAAATCCAAAATGATCCAAAATCTGAAACTTCGTGTACCCACATGATGCTCAAAGGTCACGCTCAAAGAAGTACTCATTGAAACACTTGGATTTCGGAGTAAGGATCCTCAACTGGTATAACTGCAAATATTTTAAAATCCAAAAAAATCCAAAATCCAAAACACTCCTGGTGGCAAGAGTAACTATACTCAACCTGAACATGGTACAACATGGATAAATCTTCAAAACATTATCTTAAGAGAAAGAAGTCAGTCACAAATGACAGTATGTTGAATTCCATTTATACGAAATATCCAGAAAAGGCAAATCTACGGAGACAAAAATTAGTAGTTGATTAGGCCTCAGGAGTTTAGGTGCAAATGGGAAGTGACTGCCAATAGGTACAGGATTTCTTTTTTGGGGTGATAAAAATGTCCTAAAATTGATCATAGTGATGACTGCACAACTCTGAATATACTAAAAAACTACTGAACTGTACATTATGTGAGTTACATCTCAATAAAACGGTTTAAAAAATGTACAGCAAAAAGATAACTAATACAGACCTAACATCTACAAAACTTAACAAATTCCTATTTATTAAAAAAAAAATTGTTTTTGGAGACAGGGTCTCTATCACCCAAGATGGAGTACAGAGGCATGATCATAGCTCACTATAACTTCGAACACCTGGGCTCAAGCGATCCTCCCTGCTTAGCCTCCCAAAGTGCTGGGATTATGTGCATGAGCTACCTTGCTTGCGTATTAAAAAAAAAATTGTTTTTGGCCAAACAAAAAAAACGCCAAAACTAACCACAGCTGATAAAATAAAAAAAAAAAAAAAAAAAAAGGAAAATTTCTGAAAGGATATATGAGAAAATGTTAACAATTATGAATTCTGGAAAATAGGATAGTCAAAAAGAGGACAAGGCACTTTATTCTCTATCTTCTACCCTTGTATACTCAATTTTCACCAAGAAATTTAAAAAAGAATAGTCTTCCTAATAGCAGTAAGTACGTTATAGCACCCAGATCTTGGTTTCTAACTACCATTCCCAAATGAAAGAAAAATCCTTAAAGAAATGGCTGATTCTACATATAGGTCAGAGCAAGTACAAAGTGAGCTGGGAGCATCTTGTTGTGTCAGAAAGGAAAGAAGCACCCACAAACTAAAGAAGGCATGTGAAAAAGACAAAGAAGCTGGAGTGATGGGGCTCTCACTAGCCAAACCTAGGGCAATTTGAACATCAGAATTACTGTTAACTAAAAAATATCAAGAAAAGCAAGAAAGTGATTATTGCAAGAGTCACGATGTCAGTTAATTACGGGGGAAGGAAGAAAGCACACAGTAGGCTTCTAGAATGCTGGTGACAATATTTTTTGATCAAGAATAATTACAAGAATATTTGTTTTAATTATGTATTAAACAGCATGTATTTGTAATACGGATTTTTAAGCAGATACAGTATTTCATAATTTTTAAACAAAAATTTTAAGGTTTCAGGGGAAAAAAAAGAGGTCAAATAAAACAAGAGCCTCCTAGAAAGAAAATTAAAATATTTTACCTGCAAGAGTATGTAGGCTCTCCTACTTTAAAAACACGACCACAAAGATGAGAAGGTTTGTTTGCTTGCTCAAGCTTTGGAAATCCAAATGCAGGATCTTCACCACAAAGGTACCATTCCATTGGTCCCAACAAAACATGCTGTGCCAGCATGTCTTCCTTCTGTGGCAAAGGGTTGGGACCCCTGCAGTATATTTTGGGTACGTAGTGGGCTAAATGCTGGTACACTTCTCTAGTGAGGTCAGTTGCTTGGAGCCATTTCTTTAAAAGAAGAAAAAAGAAGAAGTGGTTTGAAACACCAACAAACTAATTTGAACAAATTCACCCTACTTTCTTTTAAGTACAAAAATAATGGCAAAAGCATGTTAAAATATTTTGTTTACAACACTCACCACCATACGTTAGAAATTTAGCCTATTAAAATGCCAAGTATTTGTAAATGCTACTTTTAAGTGTAAGCAAAATTAAAATGAAACTAGCCCCCCTCCTTCCCTGCAAAATGACTCTTGAAGCAACCTTCTCTAGGCAGTACCAGAAAATAATTACAAGAAATCATTATATAAGACATGAACCATTGAGCTCATCTGACATCCTTCCTAATGCTTTGCTCAAATGTCATTCTCATTGTGATACGAATTCTGCCAGTTTGTCCATAGGAAGAGTGTACAGTGAACATGAACAGCCAATATGTATTATGAACATGAATAGCTAATACACTACATTTCTTAATGATTGATAAACGAGTTTATATACCAGTCTCTTATGAATAAGTCAATCCACAAGAGACTGTTGTACCAACTACGCCTTCTTTCTCTGATCAACCTCCCTCTATAAGGCCTTTTCCATTTGCTCTCCCCACTAAAAACAAATTTTAAAGCATGATCATACTTAGATCTCATAGGCACCAACTTAATAACTGAATGCATGATCTCCCCCGCATCCTCCACCAAAATTTGTTATTTTCCCCATTTCCCTATTTTAGCTTTGCTTCCTTTTCAGATTTTTCGGTGTGGATACCCAGGTTTTGTATTTAAAAAACATACGAAAAGAAGCCAGGTGCAGTGGCTTATGCCAGTAATCCCAGCACTTTGGGAGGCCAAGCCAAACGCATCACCTGAGGTCAGGAGTTCAAGCCCAGTCTGGCCAACACGGTGAAATCCCATCTCTACTAAAAATACAAAAATTAGCCGGGCGTGGTGGCGCATGCCTGTAATCCCAGCTACTCGAGAGGCTGAGGCAGGAGAAATCGCTTAAACCCAGGAGGCAGAGGTTGTAGTGAACGAAGATCTAGCCTGGGCGACAGAGCAAGAGTCTGTCTCAAAGGGAAAAAAAAACACTCACTTCTGCTAGAATGCAGTTAACTGAACCGTGAACAAAACCCACAGATAGAGGGGAGGAGGAAGGCGAAGTGGGTTGTAAAACTACCTATTGGGTACTATGCTCACTACCTGAGTACAATATACTCATGTAACAAACTTGCACACGTGTTCCTTAAATCTAAAGTAAAAGCTGAAATTTTAAAAAACCTCCAGTGTTTACCTATGGATTATCACCTAAATTCCAGTTACATTTTTATTAAAAAAAAAAAAAAAAAAGAGTATGTTCAGGTGATATCTAACATTATAAGAAGTCAATATAAGGTCTTCATTTTAGCTATTTTATTTACTTGTATATTCTTCAGACCACTCCTTCTAAAAATAACATACAGAGAGAGATTTTAAATATGCATGAGGTGACGTATATTAACTTTCTAGTCAATTTCATGTTTTCAGAGAACTTTTACTAAATATGTAAAAATTTTGTTCATAAGTTAAGGGACTAGATAGAAGCTTATAACCAAAAACAGTGAGAGTTTTCACACTTAAGGTGAAACTACACTATTTTCCAAACATTACTAACATTGTTGTGTTTACATTATGCAAGTAGGAAAGAGACCAAATTACTTTCAAAACCACAGCATTTCTTCCCTGGTGGTCAAGTGGTTAGGGGACAAAAAAAAAAAAGCAGCAGCATTTCTTAGGAGACAATCCTATGGGTTTTAAGTATTCTCTCCCTTCAGAGTGATTCAATCAAAAGTTTATATATACATACACATCCTCAGTAATTATAAAGAGGACAAGTTTAAAAAAAAGAAGAAAAAGCCGAGTCCTCAACAAGTATACTAGAATCTTATTCTTTGAGTTAAAATACATCTTTTTTGGCCTCATTCAAAGCTAAATGTCTCATTTTTCACCTGTTGTCAGCAAACCAAAACAAGAATGAAGGGAGTCAAATTATCCTAAGCAACTTTTTTTGAGTCTGGCGCTATTGCCCAGACTGGAGTGCAGCGGTGCGATCTTAGCTCATTGCAACCTCTGCCTCCCGGGTTCAAGTGATTCTCCTGCCTAAACCTTCTGAGTAGCTGGGATTACAAGTGTGCACCACCACACCCGGCTAATTTTTATATTTCCAGTACAGACAAGGTTTCACCATGTTGGCCAGGCTTGTCTCAAACTCCTGACCTCAGGTGATTCGCCCGCCTCGGCCTCCCAAAGGTGCTGGGATTCAATTTACTCTTTATGAACAAAAAATTAAGCAATAAGACCAAAATAATTCACCTCCATGATCCTAGAAAGTTAAGTGCTTCAGACTATTTTAATTTACAACATATTGAAAGATTTTATTTAAAAACCAGTTTTTTCCTTATATTTTATGTTCCCACTCCTGTAAAACTTCACTGTTGCAGAATTTTAATACAAGAATGAAAGATTTCTTTAGAAGGGATGCTTTCTAAAAAAATTATGTAGTCTAGTGACTGTAACAAGAGAGCAAATTTGTTCACAGATTTCTTCAACAAAAATTCAGACGCTAGTATCAGCATCTGGTTAAGAAAAAAAAAAAAAATCGGCTGGGCCCAGTGGCTCATGCCTGTAATTCCAGTACTTTGGGAGGCCAAGGCGGGTGGCTCATTTGAGTTCAGAGGTTCAAGACCAGCTTGGGCAATATGGCAAAACCCCATCTCTACTAAAAATAAAAGAAAATTAGCTGGGCATGGTGGTGCACGCCGGTAGTCTCAGCTACTCAGGAGGCTGAGGTGGATCACCTGAGCCCCAGAGGTTGAGGCTTCAGTAAGGCATGATCATGCCACTGCACTTCAGCCTGGGTGACAGAGTGAGAGCCTGTCTCAAAAAACAAACAACAACAAAAAACAACTACTCACTTTACATAAAAATATTATTAGTAAAACAAGCAAGTATTTCACTCTTTATTACATATTATTATAAATAACAAGATTTAAAAGTCTGGTTCAAGAAAGGCATGCATATGCTCCCCATTTTTAAAATCTTTACTACTGCTGGGCACGGTGGCTCACGCCTGTAATCCCAGCACTTTGGGAGGCCAAGGTGGGCAGATCACTTGAGGCCAGGAGTTCGAGACCAGCATGGCCAACATGGTGAAACACCATCTCTACTAAAAACACAAAAATTAACCAGAGTGGTGGTGTGTGCCTGTAATCCCAGCTACTCGGGAGGTTGAGGCAGAAGAATCGCTTGAACTCAGGAGGCGGAGGTTGCAGTGAGCCTAGATTGCACCACTGCACTCCAGCCTGGATGACAGAGTGAGACTCCGTCTCAAAAATGAAAACTTTACTACCATTATATGAAAAATTCACAATCACCTAAAAGATTTGGGCTCTATTACAGGCACTTTAACCTGATTAAACATATACACTTAATATAAAAAGCAAGAAAAATTTATGACTGTCTTTCAGAAGTAGCTCACATATTTCCCCAAAGAATAAAATCTATAGCTTTTCATATTAGTTCTCACTAACACACGCTAACTGCAACTGTTTCTTCAACATGAAAAATTGAGATTTCCAGTTTGGTTTGCATTTTAATTTGTCTTTATTTCAGACACTTGTAGCTGTCATGCCCATGTGGCACAAGAGAGTAATAAGCATTCACTACCTTATTAGAAGTCCCTCTTAAGGGAAGTAAAGAAACTGTCAACTCATCCCTCTAAAGTAAACATGTTATGACAATGTTTCCAGGAGCTTTCCCTCTATTGAATGCTAAATTTAAGGCTTGGGATAGAAAGTAAGTACAATAAAATAAAAATGAAATGAAAAATGAAAGAATTCCTAGAGGTTAGCCTTTTATTATAGTCTCTATTATTCTATACCCAATTAAAATTGTACCCTTTAACCACTTATGGTTTTGCTTTCAAACAAGGATAAGCAACATGTAAGTTAATCATGAAACAACTAGTGCTCATAATCATAAAAACACTAGTGCTCAATTGGGAGTTTTGGGGAATATATTGAGAAAAAATTTAAACAAATTATATTAAGAGTCCTACAAATGAAGGAGAGTATTTACAAATAAAAATAGAAAATTAATAGGTCAAAAGACTAATTAAAAATGGGCAAAGAAGACATAAAAATGGCCAATAAGCTCATAAAAAGATGTTCAACATGACTCATGAGGGAAATGCAAATCAAAACCACAATGAGAAGGCACAACACCCAAAAGAATGGCTGTAATCAAAGCACAGGCAAAAATAAGTGTTGACAAGGATGTGGAGAAACTGCAACTCTCATGCACTACTGGTGGGAATGTAAAACAATGCAACGGCTTTGGAAAAATCCGGCAGTTCCTCAAAATAGTTAACATATAACCCACCAATTTCACTTCTAGATATATATATATATACACACACACACACACACACACACATACACATATATATACACACACACACCCAAGAGAAACAAAACCATAGGTCCCCACAAAAATTCGTAAAAGAATGTTCACAGCAACATGATTCATAATACCCAAAAAGTAGAAACAACCCAAATATTCACCAACTGATGAACAAATAAAATATGGTTTACCTACACATAGGAATGTCATTTGGCAATAAAAAGAATGAATTACTGACACAGGTTGAGCATCCCTAATTTGAAAATGTGAAATCCAAAATGATCCAAAATCTGAAACTTCGTGTACCCACATGATGCTCAAAGGTCACGCTCAAAGAAGTACTCATTGAAACACTTGGATTTCGGAGTAAGGATCCTCAACTGGTATAACTGCAAATATTTTAAAATCCAAAAAAATCCAAAATCCAAAACACTCCTGGTGGCAAGAGTAACTATACTCAACCTGAACATGGTACAACATGGATAAATCTTCAAAACATTATCTTAAGAGAAAGAAGTCAGTCACAAATGACAGTATGTTGAATTCCATTTATACGAAATATCCAGAAAAGGCAAATCTACGGAGACAAAAATTAGTAGTTGATTAGGCCTCAGGAGTTTAGGTGCAAATGGGAAGTGACTGCCAATAGGTACAGGATTTCTTTTTTGGGGTGATAAAAATGTCCTAAAATTGATCATAGTGATGACTGCACAACTCTGAATATACTAAAAAACTACTGAACTGTACATTATGTGAGTTACATCTCAATAAAACGGTTTAAAAAATGTACAGCAAAAAGATAACTAATACAGACCTAACATCTACAAAACTTAACAAATTCCTATTTATTAAAAAAAAAATTGTTTTTGGAGACAGGGTCTCTATCACCCAAGATGGAGTACAGAGGCATGATCATAGCTCACTATAACTTCGAACACCTGGGCTCAAGCGATCCTCCCTGCTTAGCCTTCTCAGTAGCTAAGACAGCAAGTTCATGCCACCACACCAAGCCTTTTTTTTTTTTTTTTTTAAGTAGAGACAGGATCTAGCTATGTTGCCCAGGCTGGTCTCAAACTCTTAGACTTAAGCAGTCTTCCCACCTCAGCCTCCCAAATAGCTGGGATTACTGGCATGACCCAGTGCTCCCAACCTGTATTTCTTTTATACTCAGGGGAAAAAGACGGGGTCCCACTTTGTCACTCAGGCTGGAGTGCAGTGGCGTGATCTCGGCTCACTGCAACCTCAGCCTCCTGGGCTCAAGCAACTCTCCTGCCTCAGCTTCCCAAATAGCTGGGATTACAGGGGTGCACCACCATGCCTGGCTAATTTTTGTATTTTTAGTAGAGACAGGGTTTCACCATGTTGGCCAGCATAGTCTCTATTTTTTGACCTCGTTATCTGCCCGCCTCAGCCTCCCAAAGTGCTGGGATTACAGGCGTGAGCCACCACACCCGGCATGTTTACTTTTAAAGCCACAATCACCCATTGGAATACACTATAACCATATGTAGTATGGAAAGTAAACCGAGTCAAGAAATGTTGGGAAAGTCATACTTATGGAATCAATTCTAACAAGAGAAGAATGAGAAGAGAGGGCCACTGTAATATCCTAAACTTACAAATACTAAAGAGTCAGCTTAGATGCTTTTCTTTGTGAGCCATACTAGCTGGAATGGATGGGATCACAAAAAGTTCTTCCTCCTTATAACAGGAATAAGAAAAGCGATGTGTAAATGAAATGTGGAAAGGATGACACTAGTGCTCGTTAGGTGATTTTTAAATGGAAGTGATCCTAACAAATTACCAATGACAGAGGTCTGAAGCCTACAATCACTGTTTTCTCTACTTGTTTCTCTTCCCTAAAATGTACTTTCATCCTAAGAGAAAACTTTATTAATTTCAATGTGTGATAAAAAGCTGAAGCCTAAGCTGAAAAAAGTTTTAAATCTTAGGTGTTTTAACTTAATACAGACAGTAAAGTCCTCACAAAGTAAGGCAAGATTAAGGTCATATAATTGAAGGAATTATATTTTAATATTCATTTTCAAGGTAGGAGGATCTCTTGAGACTAGGAGGTCAAGGCTGCAGTGAGCTATGATCATGTCACTGTACTCTAGCCTGGGCAACAGTATAAGACCCCATCTCTTATCAAAAAAAAAAAAAAAAGAGTTTGCATCTTCTCTATTTGAGAGAATTGTGTTGGTCTTCAGATTAAACTTTTTAAAAAAAATCTTACTGTTCAGAAGGCATTTAAAAGTAAACAGGGTAGGCTGGGCACGGTGGCTCACACCTGTAATCCCAGCACTTTGCGAGGCCAAGGTGGACAGACCACCTGAGGTCAGGAGCTCGAGACCATCCTGGCCAACATGGGGAAACCCTGTCTCTACTAAAAATACAAAAATTAGTCAGGCGTGGTGGTGCATGCCTGTAATCCCAGCTGTAATTCGGAAGGCTGAGGCAGGAGAATCACTTGAACCCCAGAGGCAGAGGTTGCAGTGAGCCAAGATCGTGCCATTGCACTCCAGCCTGGCAACAGAGCAAGACTCTGTCTCAAAAAAAAGAAAAAAAAAAAGCAAACAGGGTAAAATGTAGCTCAGATTGTGATCTTCACAAACTCAAATGAAGTCCAAATTAATAATTTTTTGTTGCATTTCCCTTGATTTTTCCCTACTGCATCTGCCTGAGAATTTCACTGAACAAGAACTAGGAGCACTGGCCTCCAGCACTACTTTTATAACCAGTTTTCTCAGGAGCCTCTACAAATTGGAGAACCTCCTATCACTTGATAGTTTGCACTTTTAGAATGGGATAACGGAATTTGTATCTTCTATCACTGGGCCAAGACACAAAATTCAGTGACAGAAAAAAAACCACAACAGTACTTTGAGGTAAGCAACAGATATCAATTAGAAGAGGCATGGAGAGCAAACAGCTGTCATTACTATTTAACAGTTTACTTGTAACACTACTTTCATTTTTTTTTTTTTTCAAATCTCTGATAAACGAAAGGCAGAAATTCCTTGAGTTGTGTGCAATATTAAGTAGAAAGTAAATGAAAACAGACCTAGGCTAAACAAGTATGTTTAAAAAAACACACCCAAGGCAGGGCGCAGTGGCTCATGCCTGTAATCCCAGCACTTTGGGAGGCCCAAGCCGGTGGATCACCTGAGGTCGGGAGTCCGAGACCACCCTGACCAACATGGAGAAACCCCATCTCTTACTAAAAATACAAAATTAGCGGGGCGTGGTGGTGCATGCCTATAATCCCAGCTACTCGAGAGGCTGAGGCAGGAGAATCGCTTGAACCGGGGAGACGGAGGTTGCGGTGAGCCGAGATCGCGCCACTGCACTCCACCCTGGGCATCAAAAGCGAAACTCTGTCTCAAAAACAAAAACAAACAACAACAACAAAACACACCCAAACAAGCAAAGATTCAGCATTTAACAACGTATTTCTTTAAAGTTTTCACCTCTACGCCTGACATTTCTTTCTACCTGGACTTAATGTCCTCATCAATTCACGCAAAATAACTACTCACTGACCAACAGCTCCACAGTGCCCCCAATCCCAAATTTTGTTCGTAGCATTCAGATTGCTGACTTTTATTCACGGGTCACTTTCCTCCTAGTAGCCTTTTTAACTGGAGGTCTTAGAGGTGGGGCCCAAGCTGTCTTGGTCCATTCATAATCATTCTGGGCAATCTCTTCTAATGGGTGTTCCCTGTCCTTATTGGTGAAAGATGCTGTTGAGTTTATTACTCTACAACTCTGCTATTTACACTAGAATATTCACATTACAGTTTTAATGCTATACTGCGTTTGAATGGTTTTACGTTTGGAGCATAACTGCTCCTACTATACTGTGACCAATTCTCACGTTTAGCTTATACAGTATTCGTTGAAAACTGCTCTATCAACGTTATGTAACATTTGTTCTCCATCCAATTACCCCTAACTCCTAGAAAAAATATTTTTAAAATTTCCCAGCCTCCACGACTACTTTCTCATACTCAGTAAACTTTCCACACATGCATCAACGTTGTCAACTAATCAAACCGGTGCAAAAAAAAAAAAAAAAAAAAAAAAAGGGGGCACTGAAAGGGGTAACGAAGGGTAGTGTCGTTTGCCTTCCTGGTGCCTGTGGCAGTCCCAAAAACAAAGTAGGGGCTTGGTTAGGGTGGCATGTTTAGTCGGAGGAGCACACGGCTCCGCTTATCTCAGGAAAAGCAATCAACTAGATAAAGTAAGGCGATGATACCAAAAACACAAGAAGCGTCTCTTCTCCTCTTCCAAGAGCTGATACATATAAAGGGCAAAGGCCTATGTGTTGGGAGACTTCATGGGCGGCTAGGAGAAAGGAGGTATGATGGAAGAGCCGTGCGCTCTCCTGGGCAGAAAGGGAAAGTAAACGTAGTTAGTGCACAGCGCAGCTCTGGGAGCTGTTGAAAATGGAAAGAGAGGGGCAGGATCGGTGGCCTCCCCGGGCTGTTACCCCACAAGGCGAGGGCCGGCACAGCTGTTTCCCCAAGTCTGGGCCGGGCTGCTCCAGGACGTCCAGGAGTCGGTTCCTCCCCGCGGGCGCGGCCTGCGAGGGGCGGACGTACCCGCCCGGGTCCCGGCACTCACCCCCGCAATCTCCTCGGCCGAACATTCCAGCAAACTCCGGTCGATGGCCTGCACCTCTGGCTCCAGCTCCGACGCCATCTTCTCTCCTCCTCCTCCCCTGCGCTACCGCCGCCCGGGGAGCTGCAGCCTCACCTCGGCCCCGGCGGCCTCGACTGCCACCCCTGCCCCAGGCAATCAGTCCCGGAGCCGTCCAAGTGGCTGCAGGTGGAGCAAGAGAGGGAGAGAAGGGTGACGTGAACCGGAAAGGAAGGACAGCGGCCTCCTGCGCTCCCTCCCAAGCTTAGCGTCCAAGAGTCAAGTCACTGGCTCGTCCCTGACCCAGGGAAGGACACAGAAAACCCCAGGCCTGACACTGGCTAGCCACTACCGCGTCCGGCACCGGGAAAGGGGCGATAACACCCAGGAGGCGAAGCAGGGCGTTCTGGGTACTGTAGTCGTCCCAGCAAAGCCGGGAGAGAGGTGGCGCCCTGATACGGGGGCCCCTCGAATGCATTGTGGGAGTTGTAGTCCATTCCCAAGGGGCGGGGCTTAAATGGCAGATAGGCGGGCGGGGCTTTTCTGCCCAACGAGAATCATGGGAAGAGAGTCGTGGAAAGTAGGGCCCCCTGGAAAAAAGCCAAAGAGCAAGACACTGTGGGAACTGTAGTTTTTTTCCCCGAATCTCGTTTGTTCATTTTTGTATCCCCAGCTTCAAGAACACTGCCTGGCACGTGGTAGACCCCCAAGGACTTGCCAGTCTGGCATAGGGTAGGCACCCAAATACTTGTCAAAGGAATGAATGAATTACATTCTATTCCTGTGGTTCTATGTCCTGTCATCCATCGAACCCTCATCTTTTATACAAGTAATGGAGGTAAACATTACCCAGCTTTTTGAAGGTTTAAAACATGTTTAAAATTTTTTTTCAAACACTTTAGTAATGACCACTTACAAACTTTATCACAAATCTTGCTGCAAAGGAAAAAGAGTCTATTAGGCCAATTCAAAGATTTACTCTTGATAAAGACATTTAATTTCTACAGATAATCAGACCAAGCTTGGTGGCTCATGCCTCTAATCCCAGCACTTTGGGAAGTCGAGGGGGGCAGATTGCTTGAGCCCAGGAGTTTGAGACCAGTTTGGACAACATAGCGAGACTCTCTTGATAAAAATCAAAAAATTAG